ATATAGTAGTAGAGTAGGAGATTGCGCTGACAAGATTGGATACGTATCGATTGAAATCGCTGGAGAGTAGTAGATTGGGCGACTTCAAGCGAATAGATCAATACATATCTAATCTTGTCAGCGCACTATCCTAATCTACTACTATCCTAATCTCCTACTCTACTACTATCCTACTATCGTAATATCGCAATCTACTACTCTCCGGCGATTTCAATCGATACGTATCTAATCTTGTCAGCGCAATCTCCTACTCTACTACTATCCTAATCTCCCGTCAATATATATGTTTTCGAGTCGCGAACTATGAACGCGGCCTTTGTGGAGAGATTTACTGAGTCTTGTAGCATGAAAAAAATTGGAGAAATAATCTCTATTTTTTATTTGAACTGTTTTCGCATGTTACCAAAAATATTGGTAGTTCCGAACAGTTCCGATTCTGTATACCATCTTGGGAGACTTCTTGAATGCACAACCGTGTCTAATGCTACAAATACTGACAGTAATCGGTTCTGACTCACCGGACTCGATAATCGTGACCGTAATCCGGGTACCTGACAGGAGGCCTGTCTCGCGACGAGAAGGCAGAGACGCGGACGAGTCGCAGTGCGTACTGTAGCGATTTGCCTTCAATTAACAGGGATGTCTACAGCACGTCCACACCACGCACGTGCGCTGCCGCTCTGCCTTCGCCGCGCGACGGGCCTCTTGTCGGGTACCCCCTAATTCTATCACAAATTCGCGCTTATTTCAGAGGAATCTTCCCCATCCACTACGACAAGCCCCGTTGCGCTGATTGGCCCACAGATGTCGATAACAGAATCAATCATGGCATAGAAATTGGCAAGGACAGAGGTTTCATTCATAGAGGAGATTTCCTCGTGGTGATTACCGGATGGAGACAGGGTAAGTGTTTTGAATTGTTTGGAAGGCGCTCATGTCCTTAGGGGGGACATTCAAAACAGGGCATTCAAAAACCGCTGGTAGGTGACACTAGGACTAAGCCCAGGATTGGGAATAAACACCAGGGAGAACAATGGTTGCTCACATCCTCTCCCAGAATCCTTTCCCCTCCCTAAGGCTTAGTCCCAAGTTCTATGAGTGGCCCACTCACTTCAATGTCCCCCTAAGGACATGAGCGCCGTTGCAGATTATTCAGGTACATAATAAATTTACCTCATGTCTGTACTTTCAGGAGCTGGATTCACTAATGCTCTACGAATCATCACTGCATCCCTCACTTGCAATCGTGATTCACACCATTGACGATACTCCGGCGTGTGCTCCGTCTCTACCGGGAGTGTTGTGTCTGTCCGGGTCAGGTAACTCATCTAGCTATTAATTTTGACATGATTAGCTACAAATGCTCTGTCACCGTGTTTATCGTATACTGGTTCAGTATCCTTGACTTCCTTATAATAAGGATCTAATAATGTAGGGTCCTCAGATGTAATAATCAATCACTAATGAATGATACTTTAGCAACTTTAGACTCGTTGATTTTATAGGAATGTACTTGCGTATTCGGTAGTTAGACTTGATATGTTGTAATATTTTGTTATATGAATTGGTAAATGATTG